TCCAATTCCTTACCAACCAAGATGAATTATCCGGACTGGATTTCAATAGAATCTAAAAATCTTACAAATCTAGTGGGGAGTGGTCATTATAGGAGAAACAGAGCTATGTATATCCTAAACGATATAAGTCATAAACTCAGAAGAGATAAAAGGAAATTCCTTGAGGATCGTGCCACAGAGATAAGTAATTCATTCAATGCAAATGATTCATATAAAGCTTTCAAATTATTGAAATCCTTCACTTCTTTCAAAAAAGAGCAATTTTTTAAACTTAGTCACAACTCAAAAGAAATTACAGATCCAGAGATACAAATGAAAATATGGGTTTCACATTACTCTAAAGTCTTTAATAGTAATCAACCCTCCTCTGTATCAAATAACCAAATAGTAATATCTCCCATCGATCAAAATCCATCTACCTCAAGTTTCTGGCCTCCAAATCTGTTAAACCTTGTCCCGTTCAAAATTCTTCTATCTCAAATCTGTTGTTAACTCTACGAATAACTTAATATTAGAATCTCCCATTGACCAAAATCCATCTACCTCAAACTTCTGGCCTCCTCAGGTACAATTACACCAGGGCCCTCCTCAATGTCTTCCGAACAATGCCTTTCCGTTCAAAACTCTTCTTCCTATAATCTCTCGCCATCAAAATTATTACATTTACCAAACCAAGGTGTTTCCTCCATTCATCATGGTCCATCCTCTTTGAACCTCTGGCCCCCGCAATTAATTCTCCCACAAGATAATATTACTCATAATACTACATCTTCATCTACATATTCTTCCCTCTCTACCTTATTCCCAAATACAAATAGAATCATAGATCCTATTAAGAGTATAATAAATATAATAAAGAAACTAAAAAATCACAAGGCGTGTGGACAAGATAATATTCGTAGTGAATATTTAAAAACTGACCCTATATTATCCGCCGAAATTCTATTCCCAATCATATCGAGAGTATGGAAGGAAGGGACCTGCCCTAGTGATTGGCTATCGGCTACCCTAATTAATTTTCCAAAAACTAAGTACCCTCAAGCTCTAGAGGATTGGAGAGGAATTTGACTGAATTCTATAATATATAAGATATTCACTAACATTATCCTAAATCGCCTCAGATTATGGGGATTCAATAGTTTCATTTAGGAAGGGACATAATGCTCTTGAAGCTAGTCTCAATCTAAAGATACAAATAGAGAAATCTATTATACGGAAAAGGCAATTAATAATTATAGCTCTTGATTTTAGGAAAGCTTTTGATACGATTATCCAAGATAGTTTATGGAAAGCTTTTGATACGATTATCCAAGATAGTTTATGGAAAGCTTTAGAAGAAGTTAATACGCCAACTTCTTTGGTAAAAATATTAAAAAATATCTATAATGATTACTCGATTCAAATTATCCATGCAGGTCATAAATCAACGAAAATTCCAGTTAAGATAGGTCTAAAACAGGGATGTGTCCTTTCTCCTCTTCTTTTTAATTTTATTATAAATTATATCATAAAGAGAGTGACTAAACAATATTTGGCTCAGATTCCTATTGGGAAATTTAATATTCTTGCATTTGCTGATGATCTTTGCATTATGGGAGATTCTGTATCACACCTTTAATTGCTAGTGGATATGGTGATCCAAGCTGCAGGTTTTTTTGGTTTAAAAATAAATTTTGATAAAACTAAGTTGATGACATCAGTTTACTCCCCTTCAAATATGAATCTAACGATACAAGGGAGGAAAATAGTAGAAGTTCAACAATTAAAATATCTAGGAGTGATACTGGATAGAAAAGGAAATACTAAACTAGACTTAATAGCTAAATTAAATAAATTCGATTTAAAATTCTAATATTCCCCTCTTTAATCTATGGTATAGAAACCTGGAAAGATACTAAACAAGAAAGTAAAAAGATGCGAACTTTCGTTAACAAATGTCTTAGCTATATAACCAACATTCTATCCTTATAATACTTTGAATTATAATCTTTGGTCCAGATGCGACATCCTCCCTATATATAGACTATGTGAATATAGAAAAATTGAAATATTAGGGCACATTCTCAGACAAGCCCCAAACAACTTAGTATATCAAGCCCTTTTTATTACCCCTTTGGATGAGTCATCTCTCAAACAAAAAGAGTTGATAACTGAGGAAAAAGAGGGAAGAAAATAGGCTATGACTCAAGTGCAAGAAGGAGTTCGGAGATTGGTACAAAGTTATCAGGAATTTTCAACGAAGACTTAGGATGCCTCAGAGATTATGAAGTAGACATTAAGTTAAAAGAAGGTTTTCTTCCAAAATTCTGTGCTTTACGACGGATACCGTTTGAATGGAGGAAGGAAATGGAACTGGAGTTGGATCAATGGGTACAAAGAGGAATTGTTTGTCCTGTGGAATACAGTGAGTGGGCAACTCCACTAGTGCCCGTGAAGATAGCCAATGTTCGAGTCACGTTAAATCCATGGGTTGTAAAGGTCAAATATCCGTTGCCAAGGATTGAAGAAATACTGGCTAGTTTAAAAGGAAGCGTTAATTTTTCAAAACTGGATTTCTCTAATACATATCTGCAACTACGGGTAAGACCGGAAGTAAAGAATATTTCGATACAATATCAACCTTGCTGCGCATGAGCTTGAGATAAAACGCCTCACAGAAGATATACTCAATCTTAAATTTGGAGACCTATCTTGGTTACAAGCTACCTTACCAACAAAATTCGGCGACATTATAAGGTCACCTTCCCTACTTTCCGTTAATGCGTTCATATCCTCTCGCCTGTCATGCAAGCCCATTATACACACAGTAAAAAAACATCCTGGCTCCTTGCTTCTGCAGCAAATTGATCTCTGGAAATCTCTCTCAATAGTCGATCATCCTTCATCAGTACTACAGAATAACTAGGATAACCATTTAGTTGGCAACTCCGTTGCATACCTTATATTGAGGAGCCAACCCGTGGACTATTCTTTATTCTTTCCATTTCCGCAAAAAGGGGTACGAATTTCTCGAGGCTTTCCTCAAGGAACCTTGACCAGCTACTATGCAATGATGAGATTCGTCACGACATCGGTCTTAGACTTAATTGCAGGGATCCAAACCGAAACGAATATCGGTTCGGTTCGGGTTCAGGCTCAGATAAAAATAAAGGTTCAAGGTTCAGGTTCGGTTCGTAAAAAATTAAAATATCGGTTCGGTTCGAACCTCTAAAAACCGGTTTGAACACTTTTGTATTCAAACCTACATTCGAATTATGTATAGGGAAAATATTTTTTTATTTTATCATTAATTTAAAAAATACATGTATAAAACCTACATTTTTATTAATTGCACATTATAAAATAAAATTTAATTTATAAATATAAATATAAATATAAAAATAAATATTAATGATTAATTTTAATATGAACAATATTTTACTTTTTTTTACTTAAATTTTTTTTATTTAGCCACACAATTAATATATTTTCAAAATTCATCCCACTCAAATTACATCTATAAGGATATAGTATAAATATAATTGTTGAAAAACATCTTTCCATAGTCCACACTAACTCGGGTAGCCGGCACTGCCAATATTATATCAGATTTGATATGTGATTTATAATAATATTTTGGATTTAATTTTTCTCTAAGCATTATAATTTATAAGCTTAGAGGTAAATGTTGTGAAATGACTATTTACTAAAGTTTACAAAAATTATGATCGACACTTATCAATCAAACGTGATTGATGATAATCTTTAAAATAATTAGAATATAATTGAAATTTTTTCATTATACTAATAATAACTTACATATTATTTTATAAGCATAAAATCATGAGACTCGAACCGGTTCAGAGGTATTTTAGCAGTTCTGTTTAAGTTCGGCTAGAATTTTTTAGCGGTTTAGGTTCGGTTCAGGTTCGATAAAAATATCGGTTTTTAGCGGTTTAACGGTTCGGTTCAGGTTTGGTTTGGATCCCTGCTTTATTGTAATATGGTAATACCCTATCACTGTACCCTCTGTCAAACATCAGTCAACTCCAGAGGTCGTCTTTCTTTGCACTAATAGGCAGATTCATTAGGCATTCAAAATGCAATAATACTATTGTCAAAGCCTTAAAATCTTCCTTCCATAAACCCTCGAACCTACTGGCCTTTATAACTCCGATGGTAATCGACCTGATAATTCTACCATGATTACTTGAAAGAGAGGGGAATTTCTAACCTGGGATTTCTCATGCATGGATCCTCTTGCCCCTTCCAATATAAATAGAGACACTCTACTAAATGCCGAGACGAATAAACTCGCCAAATATTCGCCATAACTTCCTGCCAACTACACATTCCTACCACTAATCGCCACGACTCTATTATCATTCGGCTCTCATGCCCTGGCCTTCTTTAAAGAGCAGGGAAACGAATCTCTGCTAGAACCGAGGATCCCATCGAGGGATTCTACCTACGGCAAAGGTTAGCCCTAAATATAATAAAATGTAGCTATCTCAGCTTTATACTTACTCTCAATCACCGAAACCCCCTAATTGAACATCTAACGCATAAGATATACTCAGGCTATTTTGCTCTCAATCATAGCGTTGACGTTGAAAGGGAACTTGGATCTTTAACAACAACAAAAATTAATGACTTTATATACTAATATTATGCTTTTTTCCCCTGTAATTGTAAAAATTATAACTTATTTCGTAATTTTGTAATCATTTTTGACTTTATAGTCCCATATATATATATAATAATTTTTTACTAATATAGGTAACCTTATATTTTTTATAAATTGACCATAAATATATATTGAAGAAATAAAAATAGATTAAATAATTTTATTAAAAATACTACATAAATTTCTATTATAAGAATTGTAGAAAAAAATTTTTGCTGATCCATATGCCTGAACTGAAAATTAAATTATTAATTCTTCAGTTCTGACATCTCAACTTGTGGTTTACTATTTTGCTTAACGATGATTGACAGGACACCTGTTAAGGTTTTCGAAATTCATCAGGTTCATTAAGTTTATATTCAAATATTGCCCAGCAAAAATGATTCCTGAAACAGATTACATGATAAAAAATAAAATCTTCAATATAAAGTCTCGCAAAGGACGTATTATGAAGATCGTTAAAGAACATTATCTGCGTGATGATATATTTTGCGGCTCAGAACTTTGCCAAACTTGTGTCATGACTGCTAAAACGAGAAAGTTAAAAAAATTTATAGAATGTGTGAATCTAATTCAAGCTCCTATTCACTATATAATTCCTGACACAAATATATTCCTACATCAAATGCATCTATTTGAAAATGATATTTATGAAAATATGATTGTTTTGCAAACTGTCTTGGAAGAAATAAAATCTAAAAATTATTCTATATTCAAAAGAATTTGTGAACTTATTTTAAATCCTGAAAGAAATGTTTTTTCTTTTGCGAATGAACATCACATTGACACATATTGTGAATCAAAATATGGTGAAACAATTAATGATAGAAATGACAGAGCTATAAGAGTTGCCACAAATTGGTATAACAAACATTTGGAAAATTTTAAGATAATATCTATACTGATAACAAATGATATTAAAAACAAACAATTAGCTATAAGTGAAGGATTAAAATCTATGGATTTAAAAGATTATATTCAAACTTATTACAAAAATAAAGATGAAATGATTGATAAAATGTTTTCAGTTGTATCTAAAGAAGATTTACACAAAGATATTTATGATGAAAATAATCAAATAACCTTTCCTGAACATTTACCAACATTTGAGGTAGAAAATGGAATTAAATCAGGAAAATATCATAAAGGAACATTCATGATGAGTAGAAATAATTACCTAGAAGCAGATGTATCCTTATTTAATATAGATCAAGATCTAATATTTATAAAAGGACTGAAAAATATGAATAGAGCGGTTCACCAAGATATTGTAGCAATAGAAATAATGCCTGAGAGCTTGTGGGTCAAACCTTCTGATTTGTTGTTAGAAAATGAAAATGAGATAGATAATGATGATATCATTTTACCAAAGGATACTAATTCTATCAATGATTTATCAAAAACTGTATCAACTAAAAATAAGCCACGTAAGACAGGGATAGTGGTCAGTATTTTGAAAAGAAAGTGGCGTCCATATACTGGTTTTGTCATTTTGCCTTATAGGAAAGACACGCTACAATCCACATCCTCAAATTGGTATACGTTCGTTCCAACGGAGAGCAGGATTCCCAGGATCAGAATTCAATTGAGCAAATCCACTCTTGAATCTTTCCTAATCTCTGATCAATCCTTCAACTTGGTAAGTGAAGATAACACAGACCAAAGGAAAAGCAAACTCTTAGTGGTTCATATCGATTCTTGGCCACCACATTCTAGATATCCCAAGGGACACTACGTGAAGACATTGGGCAATATAGGTGATAAAGAAAGTCAAAATGAGGCCCTTCTAATTGAGCATGACATCAAGAATTATGAATATCCTCTCAAAGCTCTCAAATGTTTACCTCAACCTAATTGGAAAATTTCTGATCAAGATATCAAAGAAAGAGTAGACCTAAGGACAAGTAGGTTGATATTCAGCATAGATCCACCAGGGTGCACAGATGTTGATGACGCCTTACATTGCTATCTCCTTCCGAATAACCATTTGGAAGTGGGTGTTCATATAGCAGATGTGACTCATTTTGTTGAATTGAACAAGGATCTAGACCTAGAAGCACGAGATAGGGCCACCACTGTTTACCTCGTGGATAAGAGGATTGAAATGTTGCCCACCCTTTTGAGTTCCGATATCTGCTCATTGCTTGCTAACCGAGATAGATTAGCCTTTTCTGTTATTTGGGAAATAGAAGCGGAGACAGGTCATATAATTAAAATGAATTTTAGTAAAAGCCTTATTCGGTCTAGCGCCAAGTTGACTTATGAAGAGGCGCAAAATATTTTGAATTTGTATAGTAGTGTGTACCACTTGAAAGAAAATGCTAATCATAATCATGATGACAATCAATCAGCCACAAAATGGCGGCAGGAATGTTTGGCTAATTTGAGCTTTAATGATGATGAAACCTTAAATGACCAGAGTGATTTGTTGGCTAATATTGGCAAATCTATCTATCTCTTGCATAACCTGGCTAAGATATTGAAGCAGAAACGCTTGGATAAAGGAGCTCTTATATTGTCATCTTCAGAGATGAAGTTCTTGATGGATTCAGAAACTAACGAACCGGTAACTCTCTCTCCTAAGCAAAATTTTGAAACGAACTCCTTAGTGGAAGAAATGATGTTGTTAGCAAATATAACTGTAGCCACAAAGATACACTCTACTCTCGGCCAGTGCGCGGTATTAAGGAGACATCAATCTCCTCCCCTCTCCAATTTCGATCCGTTAATTCGAGCTGCCAATACTTTAAACATTAAACTGGATATAGACAACGGTAAAGCATTAGCTATGTCATTAGACAAAGCTGAGACGCAAGAGGAGTTTTTTTCACAGAGCAAGCTTAAAAAGATAGAAGAACACGATGATCCTAGCAATTCTGAACCTGAAATACTAATTACACCCTCAACCACACCTTATCTGATAACTTTACTCAGAGTTTTGACCGCAAGATGCATGATGGAAGCTCTTTACTTTTGTAGCGGTACTCTCAGTCACAGTGAATTCTTTCATTATGGATTAGCCACAGAAATTTACACTCATTTTACTTCGCCTATTAGACGGTACGCAGATATCATGGTTCATAGATTATTAGCCGTTTGCATAGGTTATCAAGAAATAGACCCCCAAATGCAAGACAAAAATTTTATTCAAAACATCTGCAACCATTTGAACACGAGAAACAGAAATTCAAGGAATGCCCAAAGAGCTTCGGTAGAATTGCAAATTCAATTATATTTCAAGGATAAAGTGATAGACGACGAAGCTTACATTATAGGTGTACGTAAGAACGCCATAAGAGTTTTGGTTCCTAAATATGGTATAGAAGGTTCTATCTACCTCAAATCCACCGTTCAAAATGCTGAAGAAATACTCAACAGACTTAAATACGATGAACAAGAATCTACCTTGACTTACTCTCACAACGATTATAAGATTAGTACGCTTAGATGTTTTGACAAGGTTCAAGTAAGGATGGGCCTAATAACCAATTTTTACCCATCAAATCAATCTCATTTATCTTCTCTTCCGAATAATAATAAACTCACCATTAGGCTCATAAAACCTCACATTCCAGGCTTCGAAACTTACGACTATTTGAGATCGTCAAACGTTATCCAAAATGTTGATTCCGAGGGCACTACGGATAAAATTTCTAATAAAAAAATGAAGATATAATTGTGAAAATGGCGATATCAAAATATACGAAACATGAAATTGTTTGAATAAATATTGATTGTCAATCATATGTTATAAAGATAAATATATATAATAACTGTAAAATAAAAACTAATTTTAATTTCGTGTAGTGGTTTGACTGTATATAATAAATATTTGTCTGAGAATTCTCAAACTTATGATAATAATATTTATTTGTAATCATTCCTTAAATTTGACAAAAAAAAATAGTGATAATAGCTCAAGCTCAAATTAAAGGGGAATTTTTTAATTGGGTGAAATATGTTGTTGAAGTAAGGTATGATTAAATGTTAGAAAGATGGGTTAAATAAAGGCTCGAGAGATATCTATTAAGATCAGATACAATAAAAATAATCTTTTTTATGATATGCCATGTGATTATGAGTAGTAAATGGGATTTCCGTGAGTTGCACTACAGTGTTGTTAAACCCTACTTTTTTCAAAAAGGTAGCGCGCTATTAGCTACTTTTTACGTTACTTTAGAATTTTTTAATACTTTTTTTTAAACATAATTCTATTACCACAAATGAAAAAAATATTTGTATATTATAATTTATTTATTTTTTATTGCATTTTGCATTTCAATAATATTAACATTATACTGTCATCCCCAAGGCAAGAGCGACGAGCAGAAAGTAATTTTAGCAATAAATTTCTTTAATTTTGTTAAGTGGGGTGGGATGCTATCTATTCCTCTTTAGAAGTACAAACGCCTCTTATTCCGATCCATATTTTCTAAAGACATCAATGCCATTGTCTTACCTTTTCGGCGGAGGTCTACACCTAACGTGTCGATTGAAAGGACCGCTTCGTTATTTAATTGGAATCTTTGATTTCTGGAACATTTTTTCAAGCCTGGCAGATCTCACAGGTTATCGCCATTTTGTCTTATGGGGAAGGGGCTTTCATCAGCCTTACCTGGACTTCTTCACTCTTCCGCCAACGTTGTGATTGTAGGAATAGTTAAGAAAGAAAAAAAAGATTTTACGACAACTGATGTTCATTGCATAATATCAGACTGGGGAAAATATATTCTCCCATAATTTAAGTCAAACAAATGATTTATCTAATTTTTCTTAAGTGCCATGTAATTAGGATACTCTTTAGCCAATTCTCTAAATAATTTCACTTATTATTTATTAATCGAAATGTTGAATGCTTCAAACAAATTTTTTGCTGACTGTCCCAATTAAATCATATTTGAACCAATGGCCTAGATGAAGAGGCGCTAAATTATTGCACATGCGTAGTATTGTTAAAACGGCTCGATTTCTAAAAACGGTTAACCCATTTTTTTCGCCAAAAAATATTATTCAAGCCTCATGATTTCGTTAATAGACGCATGCGCCAATATTTAATGTGTCTACCCCTAATTATTTATTATTTTCGCTAAAGATAGATGTAAATAAGCACTGTAGATAATATACTTTGGTCTACCTCAGATTTATTTATCCTTTTTTAAAAAATCTACTTCCTGGCTATTGATGAGATCATGGGGAGGGGTTAGAATAATTAAATATATTATAAAAAAAATACTACAAATGTGGTGGGGGTTTTAGAACCACCTTTGATAAATTAATTAATATTTATCTTTTTGTGTAAATGTTTGTTGATAGGCCCTCTAAATAATTCAAGAAAGCTTCTAACGGGGTTGGTCTTAAACCAACGTTTAAATAACCTTATAGAATGCATGTCTCAAGTTATTTAAACATAATTTCTTTATAATCTAAAAATTTATCTTTATCAAACCAAGATTCAACTTTTCAAGCATATTGAAAATATCAAGAGTTACCATCTGACCCTGCATTCATAGTTAACGCGAATTCGCGGCTAAGTATACAAAAATGAATGCAAAATTATTGTATTTATATCATATTTGGTAAACTTTAAAACGGCTAATTCAATATTCTTAGCCAGAAAAATATTGTCTAAGATTCTAGATTTCTCGAATAGATATCCAAATATTTGTGCTATCTATGAGTAAAATCTTTAAGCCTGCGTAATATTTTTCTAGATAAAATATTGAGTAAGCCCGTTTTTAGAAATCGGCTCAAATCGGCTATTTAACAACACTACATCGCCACAAATTCGCGTTAATGGTGATAGCAGGGTGAGCCAAATAATTCTCCGAACCGCGTTTCTTTATAATAGTAATCTTGAAAAAACATTCAATTCAAGCGATATATCAAATTAATAGTTGATGTGCCACGCAATTCTAATTAGTTTATTCTTATTGCATTCTTTTATTTTTCTTTCTTTCTTTTTTCTTTCTTTCTTTCTTTCTTTCTTTTTCTTTCTTTCTTTCTTTTTTCTTTCTTTCTTTCTTTCTTTCTTTTTTCTTTCTTTCTTTCTTTTTTTTTCTTTCTTTCTTTTTCTTTCCTTCTTTCTTTTTCTTTCTTTCCTTCTTTCTTTTTTCTTTCTTTCTTTCTTTTTTCTTTCCTTCTTTCTTTCTTTTTCTTTCTTTCCTTCTTTCTTTTTTCTTTGTTTTTTTCTTTTTTCTTACTTTTTTTAAACTTTTTTTTTAAAAAAAAATTCATATTCAAGGATTTTTGTTATTTATTCAATTTATATAATATATTATTTTCATACAATGTTCTATAATATTAAAACACGCTGATTTTCAAGTTTCATTCATTCATTAAAATATTTATTATTGTACCTTTTTTCTCAAAAATTTTTAATATTCTTATAAAATGGTAAGTTTAATATAATAATAATTATTCATTATAAAGATATTAAATTTTTTTTTAAAAGTTTCAATTTAAATTCTTATATTAATTTATTATTTTTCATGGTTATTTTTTTAAACATATTAAAGAAAGAAATTATGTGAAATTTAATTTTTTTTTCCATATACCACTATTTTGCTCTGCTCAAAATTTTATTTTAGGGTGAGACTGGCTGAAAAATTTTAGCATAAATTATAGTACGCACAAATTGAGCGTTTACGTTTTGCCGTAATTTTTAAATAAAAAATGAGGTTTTCTTTTTATTAATAGACGTCGATTCAAAATTTTAAATGAGTTCTAAAAAAAGAAATAATTTGTCTTTGAAAATTATTATTATCGTCTGCGTTCTTATTTCTTTAATTTCTAAATATTCCGTTTTTTTAGGATATAATTAAGTTATTTTTTATATTATATTTTTATATAATATTACAAAGCGAAGAATAAAAAAAAAGTATTGAAAAAGCAAACCTGTTGCGTTTATTAATGGTTACTAACGCCAAACGGTAATTTTATCAATTTACATGAGGCCATTTGAAAGGCATTATTTGATCTTACAACACAGCGCTTGAAGCGCTCAATCTGTGCGCACTATCAAAGGCATATTTTTTTTTGTATATAGTTTAAATGAAATACAAAATCATTAATTGCTTCGTCCTTGTCGCTGAAAAATTTTAATTATCATTTTATTTTGATTTTTTTTTTTTAAAAAAGTAAACAATAGATTTCTTTTAAATATTTTTCGGTACAATATTTAAAAAAATTTTTATGGCCCGAAAAAGCTTCAAACCCAATTTGCAGGGCTTTAATATCTTAACATATGAGATTTTGTAAAATCAGCCAATCAAAATTTTTATAAAAAAAATATTTTTTTTTCTGGACTAAATCTTAAAATAATTTGGGGGGGGGGGGGGAGGGGTGAGGGAGTGGTTCGGCTTTTGGATATATTTGAAATCAAGGTTTTTTTTAAATCGAAAATCATTTTATATTTCGAATGTTATTACGTTCTGAATATTTTGTTATATTTTGGGCATTTTATGACTTTTTTGCCTATTTTTTTTAGAAATATTATTGAAATTTTGATTTAAACCCTTTCATTTCACAGTGTCTAGATTTTTCTTATTAGAATATTATTATTTTTGATAAGACCGTAAATTCTTTAAATATTATCAACCCGTTTTAACGATTTTCGCCGCTTTATCAATCAATTAGCTAATATATATATTTCCTTTTTTTTTGTATTTATTCACAATTATTAGGTCAGCTTGCGATATTATTAAAAAAAATCATAAATAATTTTACGTTATAAAAAAAACGATGGATAAATAATTAGATCGGACCTACAATAATAGATGATCCAAGATTCGACGCCAGATTCGATGCCGAGGCATTGAAGAAAGCTATGCAAGGGATAGGTTAATAAAAAAAATAAGATAATCTTTTCTCAATCACAATTTTTATCGGATATATCGGTCGAAAACCAGAAAAATAAAAAAATAATTTATAAATTGAACTAAACTATAAAGAGGAGAGGAAAAAATTAATAATATTTAACAGCAACTTACTTTCCTTTATTCGGTTTAGAATGTGTAAAAGGTATGATAATTTTTTGTATCGGGCACATTAAAAGTATCGGCCGATATACTCATATATGCATCTCTGATAAAGATTATATATATGTATCTCCTAACGAACTTACATAAATATTTTTGTGGGTTAAACATAAAAAGGCACCGACGAAAAAACTATCCTTCGCGTGTTGACTAAGAGATCGAATCGCCAAAGGCAATTGATATCTCAAAAATACAAAGAACTTTTCAATAAAGTGAATATATATATTTTTATAAGAAATATTCGTTAACTACTTTTGCAAAAAAATAATAATATTGAAATCTCTTTATTTTGTTAACTTAAATTTTTATTAGCGTTGATCCTGAATAAGTTCTATGTTTTAAAATGAGGTTTGTATTGGCCAAAGAAAGAGTAATAAAAATTAAATTAGATGTCACTGGCTGGAATTAATTTAATTATTTTAATAAAATAAAAATTTAACGTGATTATAAAGACAAAAAAAGTCTACCACAATTTATATTTTATAAAGACTTTTGTCCGAAACATCAAAAATATTTATTTTACAAAAATATAGTTAATTCACGTATTAGTGAAATTTTTTTACAAAATTAACTTTGAAAAAAAAATGTACAAGGAGTTACTAATTTCTTTACAAAAAGTAACGAAAATAAAACATAATTAATAATGGTAATTTACAGTAGTGGAGGTCAACTGTCCGATCAGTTTTAGGCAGGACTGTTTGAAGGACCGGTCTCATTACCAAGGACCGCGGTCTGGACCGATATTTTATTATTCATTATAATTTATTTTACAAAATATTAGGGTATTTTATTTTACTTTTCTAGAGGATTTTCTTTAGTTTTTCTGATTCTCTTTTTTTTGCAATATACTTATAAAAACTTAAAAGTTCGCCAAAAAAAAGCATTTTACTTTTAAATTTAAATATTTGTAATTATTTATTATATAATTCCGATTTGATATTTGTTAAACCTAAAAAAATAACTCTTATTTTTATTAAAATCATAAAAATAAATATTTTTAAAATAACAAGAAAAAACACGAAAAGACCGGTCAATTAATTTAGTACCATGATCTGAATCAGTCTTTCATTTGAGGACCGTGGCCCTATCCGGTCCGGACCAATGACACCATGACCTTCACTGCTTTAGCAGCACCGTAATTAGATTTATATCTTGAGGAGATATAATGATTAATTTAAAAAAAATTTTTTTAATCCTTTAATTTATATATATATATATATATAAAGGTTCTTGCCAACGAATTACAAAGAGAATTGGGCGGAAAATTTGAGAAAGTCATTCTCGCCTTAATGACGCCGGCATACGAATACGATGCCCATAAGTTACATCAAGCCATGAAGGTTTATCTTATACTTATGGATATAGTACAAACTAAATGGATTTATTACAATATGTGAACCTAAAATTAATTTTTTGGCATAGGGTTTAGGGACGAACGAGGATGTATTAATCGAGATTCTGGTATCTAGATCCCAGGAGCAGTTGAGAAAAATTATGGAAACTTATAGAAATAGTAAAAAAATTAAAATTTTTATCAATTATTAGCGAAAATATATAATTAAAATAGAGCAGTTTAACTTCAAAAAGAAAAGCAATTATTATTTGAAATTGAATAACTTTTTATTTCGTTTTTTTCTAAAGTAGTAATAAAGCATAAAAAATCAACAAAGGACGTGGGTGAAGCTATAATATATACCAATTTTATTTTAAAAAATTAAGTTATATTTATATAAACATATAAAATGAATTTCCACCAACTATAAAGAAAAAATAATAATATGAGTAATCTTAAAAAAGGAATAATTAAGTAATATTATGCAAAAATTACATTTCTCGTTTTAGAGAGTATAATATAAATAAATATATATATATAATCGCTTTAAGGTCGAACGAGTTATAAATTATTATAAATATTACTACTAACAAGTAATCAAAAATATTTTTATTTTATTTTTATAACGTATCAATATTAAAATAGAAATTTATGAAAAAATAATGATAAATTTACTAAAAAAAGTTATCACTTCACCGATAACTGATCAGGCCTTTAGGAGAGATCCAATAGGAATAATAAGATATAGGAATAATTTTGACCAACATGGCAAAATCAATAATATCAAAGGTTCTGAAAAGTAAACGGTAATATACTGCATCTTGGAGTAAAAATTTTATATATAAAAATGACCTCTATTATTTATTCATTTAATTATTTTTTATAAAATAAGTGTTTTATCTTTTTTTAAAAGTGTACAAAAAGGATCTCGTTAGTGATATAAAAGGTGATACATCTGGGTCTTTCGAAAAACTCATGGTTTACTTGTGCAAGGTTTAATTTAAAAATATTTCGTTTAAAGGTTAAACAAATAACTTTTATTAATCAGTTACTATTCGTTTTTTATTTTAATTTTCTTGTTTATTTCAGTCATCATTATGGATATGTATGACTCACTGATTCAGGCAAGCTATTTAAAATGAAGGTTGTTAGTTTAAATGACTAATAGTCATTTTTGCTGGCTAAACTTAGTCACCTATGTGCTTTGGCGGGCATTTTATTGTATTTCATCTTTAAAAAAAACTAGTTTTAAGGTTTTCTATTAACTATTTTAATTATCTATGACTATAAAAACTAAATTTCTGATTCCTTTTTTGTTCCATAAGGAATTTACAGTAATTATTAGATAAATGTCATTACGACAAATTCGAGCCGCTTTTGATGACGGTGTCTTAAAAGTAGCACGCCGATAGTTTGATTGGTGCATAGTTCTTCATCTATCTTATAAATTTCAGACAATTATTAAAAATATTTAACATGTTGCCATAATTAAGTCTTTGGTGCTAATGACTGAAATCTTCGCGATCGTTGATCCTATTATATTCATCTAAAATTTAAATTCAACTTACCTTATAGGCAAACAGAAAATCCGATTATGGTTCGTATGACAAGGGTAAGGTGAACGCAGATGCTCAAGTATAATTTATCGAGTCTTAATTATATTTATATAATAGTAATAAAAACAAAAAAATCTTTAAAAAAGGCGCTAATTAATGCTGGTATAAAAAATGCTATGGGTACTGATACATCAGTATTTTGTGAAATATTAGTCAATAGAAGCTTAAGCCATGTTAGAGCTGTATTCGAAGAATACCAGCACATATCCAAACACTGCATCGAAGACGACATTAAAAGAGAGATGAAAGGGGACAGTGAAAACGCCTTTATTTCGTTGGGTATTTTTTTTTATTTTTAAAACACTTATTTATAATACAGTAATTTTGTAGCTATTTTTTTTTAATCACACGGTACTTAGTGTTTTTAAACGGCTCGAATTAGCCAAAATAATATTAAGTAAGCCTCGAGATTTGGCTAATAGATGTCCAAAAACATTTCTGACATCTATGAGAAAAATTTTCAGGCTTGCAATAATGTTTTTGGCTAAAATATTGGGTTAACCGTTTTTAAAAACCAAGCCCTTTAACAAAAAAATCCATGGATAATTTAAGTCTTTTCCTTCTAGCGTGATCTGAGTCTGTCCCTCTGTAAAATATATTTTAAAAATAATTTCTATAAAAAATAACGAAAATATTTAAATGTTTGTTTTTTTAGTGGAATGCATTAGATATCCAGCTTCATATTTTGCCAAAAAAATCCACCTTGCCATGAAAGTAAAATATGATAGATGGAGTTAATTATTTTGTATCTAAATTTAAAAAAAATAAAAATATGCATATATAAGCAGGGTATGGGAACTGATGATGATACTCTAGTACGATTATTGGTCACTCGAGCAGAGATAGATTTAGGGGATATAAGACAAGATTTTCAAAGAATTTACAATAAATCATTGGAAGCTTCAATTAAAGTTAATGCAAAACCTGTTAAATATCTAAACTTAAATCTTTTTAGGATGAATGCTCTGGCGATTATGAAGACGCTTTAGTATCTTTGGTTGTAGGAAATCGTTAAAAAAACTCAAATAAATTTGATAAATCACATTATCTTCAATACAGAAGAATAATAATAATTATTTGCCATCAAAACAATTAAAATTTTTTCAATTTAAATAAATGATATTTAAATAATTTTAGCTATTTACTACATTCCTAATATATATATGCCAAAATAAATTTTTGCTGTAATGAAATTATATATAAAACAATTATAATATAATTATTTCAAGCTTTATAATGATGCAATAAATATATGAAGAATTGAAAATAATTTATTTGAATATAATATTCGAGTTTAATGTTTTGTCGTGATATCGAATAATTCTGCCAATAGTGTTTTTTTTTATTAATATTCAAAATGTCATAAAATTATATAATATATAGTTTTCAGGACTTGGCTCCCATTGTTTGGGTTCATACAAAAAAATAAGGATTAAAAAATGAATCCTTTCCCCCTTTAATTAAATAACAAAACTAAAAGGTTATATATATTTTCCCAAAAGGTAATTATTATCTCTAAATCATCTGCTAAAGCGAGGATGATTGATATTACTGGAATTACGACCGCGCATTCTAGGTTGGTTAGAATTACTGTTATTGCGAGGATTGAATTGATTGGATGGATTTTGCCTATTAGGATCGCCATTATTGTGGATATACCCTTGCCTAGGGTTGCCACCAGGATTACTACTGTAGTTATGGCTTTGCCTATTGGGATTGCCATCAGAATTATTACGATAGTTATGGCTTTGCCTATTATTATCATTATCACTGTGGCGATAGTCAAAGCCGTTGTTATAGCTTTGAAAATTTTGATTAGGCAGTGCTCTGTTAATGTTGTTGGCGTTATTATGGGCCAACATTTGCTGTTGCCAATTGAAGTCGTCACCCCTGAGCCTAGAACTTTGAGTATATCTTTCCTGCTGCCAATTATTATTATTGTATCCTTGAAAGGAATTCGTCTTGGAATAATCGAAAGATTGCTGATTAAAACGAATAGAATTGCCACGGCCACCATGGCTGTTAACGTCCCTGTTAGGGTTATAATTATTATTGTAGGGTTGGTTTGAGTTGTAAGCATCGGATGGATTATTGAACGAAGAGCTATTGTTCCTTTGTCGACGAGTTTCGCTAGCGTCGCCATACCGTGAAAGATTAGAATTATGCCGAGTTGCACTATCTAATGCTTGGCTTTAATTTTATGTTTAAGAAAAAAAAATCATTTCAAGTTTCGCAATTTAATGAAATATCATCGTAGTATTTTTAAAAAAAATAATAATAAATTAAATATTCCTTTTTCCAAGACCATTTACAAAAAAAAATGTTAAATAAAAACTTCATCAATCTCCTTCCGGTAGGGCCGACTTGGCTGCCAGGGCTAGGAAATAGGGAGGTAATATTGTTGCCAAAACCTAGAGGAGGTCTGTATCTGCCCTGGGTTTTTTCGTCCCAGTTCATGGGTCTGAGAGCGTCGATAGGCATTCTTTGATAGTATATATTGAATAAATTTATTTTAGAATATGAAAAGAAAAAGGGAAAAAAATATGAATTCGGAATAATCTTTATGAAATTAATAAGAACTTACTTAAAATTTTGAGAGAAAATTAATATTTGAGTACTTGTAAAAAATAAGAATTCTTAATAAATATATTTTTTTTAAAGAAAAAACTATATGTATAATTAAATTATCTAAAAAGATATTTTAAAAAAAAGTAATTATTAAATATAAATATTATATATATAAAACTCGACGTTAGGCAACAGTTTTGCTTGAAATACGTAATCGTCGGAGTATTGTGGATCCTTGTAAAACACGCTATATAAAAACATATTTGTAATTTATATATATATATATATATATATATGATAAAATATTCTAAAGTTTGTGAGATATAGAAAGAAAGATTCTCCCAATAAACGAACTATAAAAGAGTAATTATAATGTCAAATCGACGTATAAAAGTTTTTTTTCTGCACTTTCAATTCAGATAAAAATTTTGAACTCGCTAGCCTTTTACCTAACCCGACATATTGAGAAGTTAAAAGGAGAACAAAAAAAGCCATTTTATCCTTTATCGGATTATGTTAGCAACTAATTTAAAAAAAAACTAAATGAATTTGAATTTGGTATTATATGACAAAAAAAGTAAAAGATAGATAATTTGAGGAGAAACATAAAAAAATATGGTCATCTAATGTCCAGTGGAAAGTTTGAAAAGATATTATATGACTTTCATTTCTTTTTTTTAATGAATTGATTACATGAAATGTTTACATTAATAATTTGGATAGCAAATGAATATCAAGAAAAGTTAAAGCAGGAGCTATATATAATTTGTTTTATAACATTAAAAGGCACAAAAGGTTATTTATTTCACGTGGATATCGACTTTCGTTGTTCTTCAACAAGAGGCAACACAAAATCAAGAAAATATAATAGCTAATAAAAATATTCTTATGCCAGTTATAGCTTTCCTTGGCCACTTAGGTCCAAAGAACCTGTCTTCTTCGTTCTATAGCCCTACAAATTAAGTGCTTTGCAGGGATATTAGCCTTGAGTCTTAATCACTTAAAAACAAAAGAGCCCAAATCGAAATTCTCAAGGTTTTGTTATTTTTATTCATATTCTGTGTATTTTTTTACTCTCTTTAAAGATAATAAATTTTTATTATTATTATCAAACATCCAGCCGGGATGTGTATTCATATAAACTCATGGTGTATGTCACTTCATAAGTTAGGTCACATATCTTTACACCAAAATTTAAAAAGTCTCGCAAAAAACCTTCAACGTGTAATAGAATCAATTAATCTTGAAAATAAAGGCAATTGGTAATAGGATTAATTGTTATATAAATATATTTGTTAATTGTGTATTATGATGGATGAATTTGTAAAAGATATATAAAATGAAGAAATTAATTACAAAGATATAATAAAATTATTAATTGTTTTCAAGATAGTTCACAATGAGTAAGCAAGTTCAAATTTCGTCTCTGATCTAATTATAAAATTTTAATAGATGATGACCTGACAACTTTTAAAAATGCTGATGACAATGATGCCTGATATTTGGGATCAGAATACTGATGATGCTCACCATTATAATAATTCCCATAAAAATGTACTCCAAAAGAGAATTTCTTTTTATGAAAGATGAGATGAGATTTTTTTCGATCCCAACAATAAATGTTTAATTATGGGGAGGGGGGGGGTATCTTAATTGAATTAATAGAAAAATGAGGAATCGTATCATTAGTGGATGACTATGAAAAAACATAATTTATTAAGTCTTTTTTTTTAAGAATGAAAATGGATGGGAAATAATTAATTTTTATTTAATGACTCAAATAACATTTTATTTTTTTCCTCTTTTTCCCTGGCTTCTAAAATCTTGCAAGAGTAGATATAATTCCATTTTAAATTATTTTAACAAAGAGGACACTGGTCCATACCTAATGAAAACGTATATAACATCTATTCAAGTTTACCCCACGCAAAGCGTATTCTTGATAGGAGGTAAGGAAGATATGGGTGAAGGAATTTCACCCTCATTTACGATTTGCGTATCCAATTTGACCAAACCTGCCATACCCTGACAGAAAGAGGCTTCTAGAGTTACGAATCCCTGGATGATATATATTTTTTAATAAAAATAATTTATTTAAATCGAGGTGTTTTAATACATTATCTCAATAAAAAAAGAATCTTTGTAAGGCATTAAGCTATATTATGGTGGAGGGAAATTCAATTTCTTATATCATTTTTAGGCCTGAGTCTGTCAAAATATTTAGACCCCAGCCCGTCTTCGGACTAATTTTCATGAATTCAACAAATCAGGGGAAATAAATAAACAAAAAGGAACTGTCATGCCATGTTGAGTGAATTTACTCGTGATCTTAGAGTAGCAAATTTTCCCATTATAGCAGAGTTGCCTTATTGTTCTGGTATTCTTAATCAATGATAACATGCTTTAATATGGCGAAAGGACAGCTTGTATCACTATCAAAAAAAACCAGACAGGACATTGCTTGTGTTTCTTGCCACGGCTGCAAAGCAAATAATTACCTTCATTAAAACTAGTGGGTTTCTTTGTGCTAATGTGTAATGGCTTGTAAATCACTAATTTTGCTGATCAAGCAATCGAGACATAAGGCTTGTATAATGCATTAGCACACATTTTGATACTCTGGCATAGCGTCCATTCCAGGCAAATAATAGGTTTAGTAATTCAACAGTCTACAAAATACAACAAAGCACATAACATTGAATAGGCCTTCCAGGACATTAAGGCAGCCAACCCATCCCACAAGACAATCGAATGTTTGCATGGATTGAGACGATGTCCGGTAAATTACCACCCCAAGTTATTAGGCCTATTTCTCAAATTGAGCAGTGTCCAGGAGAGACAGCTGCCAAAATAGTGAAAGGATTCGAGGATTTGATTATTCGAAATCAGAATTAAATTCACCCAACATGCATTTCTAGCCATTTATATATATATTTTCAGTTATCTACATTTATGTTAAAACCTTAAATGGTTAAAGAGGTAAGGGTGTCATGTTTATAAAAGTAGAATTCATTATTTTTATCCATATTCGTAAATTTCCACTGTTTGCAAAAAAATATAAAATCCTTTTAATATGGTTATAAAATAAAATTTGTACTTTGCCAATTGCATAGATAATATTTTTATTATTCTATGGAATATAAATATCAATTAAAAATATAATAAAATGCAATTTACTGTTCTTCAAAATGTAATGTTAGTATCCCAAAGTTGTATATATAAAATTAGATAAGGTTTAATAATTAGTCTTTAAAAATAATTAAGGTTTCGTTTCGTTGATTTAAAGTTTCTCTCTTTTTAGATTATTTAACACTATTAAACCTTATTTAATTTTATATAGAACTTTAGGGATACTCACATTATATTTTAAGAAATTAGAAATTTTCTTTTATCATATTTTTAAATCAAGATTAATAATTATATTCCAAAATAATCATATAAACATTATCGATATAGTTAACAAGATAAAAATATTATTTTATAAACAGAGTAGAAATTTAAGAATGAATTAATTCTACCTTTTTTAATAAACAAAAGAAGTGTTATTTAATAAAAAAATATAATAAATATTATTTTTCTTTATAAATATGACATGAACGAAAACAGGAAAATATTTTTTCTTCTCACCCTGTCCAACTTATTATCCGAGGCTATGATCGATTTAATGACTGAGTATGCTGGATGCTCTGCACTAATATAAATCCTGTCAAAGCTTTGCGAATTAAGGTTTTTTTCGAAATCTGTCAACTTGTCGTACACTTTCTCATGCAGGGTTTCTAGCAAACGCTTTTCGTCCACAAACGGCAAGAGCGCTACTCCTATAGGATTTTTGTAAGAAAAAAAAGAATGTGTGACATGTATAATGGTGGGAGTAAAAATATTCATGTAATCAACTATTATAATTTAAACAGAACTCAAATTATATAAAATCTGCATCGACCTGTCAGAGTTAAAATGAACGTATCTGACCATAAGAACTTGGGTTTATGTAATTTTAAAAAAAAATTACTTCTCAGGGTCAGACTAAAACCTTATGTTTAGGTCGTATTCAAATTTTTTTCTACCATTTGGCCCAACCCTTTAAAATTTCATTATCTCAAGATTTGCCAACCGATTAATTTAAATAATTCAAATTTATTTATAAAAGTTTGGCTAGTCCCAGGTTTCGTAAATCAAATTATTTTAGGACAGGTTTGAAATGTGTAATTTTTTGGTTTATAAAGCTCCATCTAAATTTATAAAATAATGATGATAATCAAGACCGGGCCGAGCCTTGCACTATCGGATAAAACTGAAATTATTCTTTCTTTTGAACGTCATTATACCTTTTTAAAATTCTCTTTCCTTCTTTACGTGACTATAAAAAGTAGATTTTTTACCCAACCCCCCTCAGAATTTTTTTAAAATTTTGTACATTAGTAATTAAGAAAAAAAAATGAAATTTTACTTCCTTACACCACTTTCTCGACAAGATATGGGCGTTTAAAGATAAGAAAAATTGTAGATTTTTGACAAAATGCACTACATTAATTTTCAAATTTCATTATATAGCTTAATAATAGATCTTTAATATGACATATAATTGAATGTGATAGAAGCCCGATAACTACCAAGAACCCGAAATGGCCATAGAACAAAGGTATATTTTTTTCTGTAATGTGTACCAGACTGCTTCGTATATGACCATTTAGATAGATCAAAATTTAACATAAATATTATCATATTTAAATTTAATGGATACTGTAATTTTTATTTAAATTTAAAGGATACTGTAATTTTTATTTAAAAATTATGTCTAAATGAAAGGCCCTTACTTTATTATCTAAAAAATTTATTTGAGATGTGGGGGGGGGGGAGTAATGTGGCTCATTTTCTCTTGAAATTACGTGCCAAAATAATTCTAAACATATTTATAACTTAATTTGGAAATATAATTTCTTATAATTACATGCAATACAATCAAAAATTTATATTATATAATAATTTTAAAATATATCATATATTAATTTATTAAATCAATTAAAGTTTAAAAAACGATAATGAATTTTATTTGTAATTCTTTTGGTATAAATACATTTATATAATTATCCAATTTAACTTCAAATAATATGCAATTTGATTAACCTCGATAATATAATATTACATGTCGGAAAGTTATAATATAATATACAAATAACGTCCTTTTAAAATATATAACGTGACCTTTTAAAATATATCTTAACCTTTACAATAATAAATATTCAGATGTAACATAATTCGCCCAAGAAATTTGAATAAATTTTCACTTTCATTTTATTTTCTTTTAAGGGGAATAAAGGGAGTCAAAAACTGTATTTAAGATGATTTTTTTTAGATATTTACCAATCCTCAAAAAATATGTAATTTATTCCTTATGGTATTATTTCTTGCATATAATGTTGTTAAAAAGCTCAATTCGGGCCTAGTTGAAAAACGGCCTGATGAAGATTTAAATCAAAATAACATTATGCAAGCCTAAAGATTTTTCTCATGGCTGGCAGAAATGCTTAGACATCTATTTGCTAAATCTCGATGCTAATAAGATTTTAGTTAAATCTTAATCGGGCCATTTTGAAAAATCGACACAAATTGGGCCATTTTGAAAAATCGACACAAATTGGGCCATTAATTTGATGAAAAATGGACACAAATTGGGCCATTTTGAAAAATCGACACAAATTGGGCCATTTTGAAAAATCGACCCAAATCGGGCTTTTTTAACAACAATACTTGCTTAGTTATATAAATCCATTGTTGTCAATATATGATCATATGAACGTTGCAAGCTAGGTCGAGCTGCTAACCGTTTAGTAATGCTCCCGAAACTGTCGCAGAGACTTTTACCAGGTGCGGTTGAAAATAAATGCCGCTGTGCCTTTATCTATATGGGTAATTACCCCATTAGAAAAATAATGAACTTTGGCTACTCTGCCCTTTCTTTAAAAGATCAATTTTATTTATAATAAAATGAATAGTGCCTGATTATTGGTCCATTGAGATATTTGTGCATGGTCCTGCTATACAAATGCATAATTTTCCAAAAGGTAAGTAATAACTAAAAATTGGCCAATATATAAATTAGATTTTAATAAGTTTGAAATAAGGATTGTTGTGAAGCTATAAGAATAAGGAATCAAGTTATTAATCTACAAATTAGTTGTCGGAATTTGTCAGCGTTTCATGAAATGTTATATAATCTTTTGAATTCGCGCTAAGTAATAAATAGTCGTTCTTTTATTTTTGATTTTTGCTAAAATAACAGGTTTATAAAATTATGTTGCCAAGTAATTCAAGCGAAAATTTAAAAGTGTTAAATAAACCTATATTTACCCCCGACCGCACTTCTATAATAATTTTTTTATATAATAAAGTAAGGGCCTTTCATTTAGACATAATTTTCATAAAAATTATTACGTAGTATCCATTAAGTTTAAAGGGCCATAACTCCTAGACCCACCTTAGCTCAGTCTAGGATTAAAAAATATATATACTTTTTTCTATGGCTATTTCCGGTTTTGGTAGTTATCGGGTAGAAATTAAAATACGGCCGCCTGCAAGCCTCAGTATACATACACCAAAAACAAAAAAAATAACCTTGCCAAGCAAATTTTTTCCCGTTCAAATCAACCTTGAAGTGAATGGGATAGAAGTCGAGTATGGGTGAATCAGGAGCTTCCATTAATTCGGCCCATGGAGTTGGGATGTGCATGCCACTAGCAGCAGGGAAAACTGCCATGAGTTGTTCTAACGGTTTGAACTTGTTTTGAATTAAAAAAAAATTTATTAATTGACTTTTATATATAGGTAAGAATGCAAATGTAGTTCAAATAATGGCCCTCTAAGTTCAATAGGTCAGGTTACGAGCCAAATTATGGGGCTTGAATGTACCTAATAATTACACGACAGGTTCCTAATCTTATAATTAAAAAAATATATACATTTCGATTTCTTAATAACCTCTTTGTACATGTTGAATAAATATAATTAATCAACAGACGTCACATTTAAATTAAAAAATCAATAAAAATATGGATTCTATGGGAATCATTCCATTTTAAATCTTTGCTGGTGGCAATTTGAAAAATCTGATTCGGCCAGAACTTATTCCGATATGTATAAGAGTACCAACTATAGGTGTGCATTGGGCGGGATTTTCGCCTACCTGCCCATACTTTGAATGAGCGTGGTTGGGTTTTTAAAAATATTTTCAACATTGGGCAGGTGTTGGGCAGGTTGAATTTTTTTTTAAAGTAATGGGCGGGTAAATTTTTGATATTTTTCAGATGATGAGCATAACAAACTTTAATTTATTTAAAATAATAGTTTTATTTCACAAAGGCGGGCGGGATTTTTGGCTAAAAACCCAACCATTGCAGACCTCTAGTACCAATACAATTAATTTCGTATTTTTGAGCCGAACTTTTGAAAAAGTGTTAATTTATATAGATTTTTTTTATATAAAACTTTAAAAAATAATACAATTAAAGCCAGACATTGATCATAATTTATCGTGGAGTTATTCTTATTCAAAACTTAGACCCCTTTCTACTTACCTTTTGCCTACAATTATATATATATTAATGGTATATTTATTACTGGAAACGTTTTGACTTCGAATACATTGGTAATCTTTTTGGATATCCCCTGGAAATCCGAGGCGAATGGGGCATAATGGAATGGGAAAAACCAATTCCAACAAGGACATCCCTGATAATAGTATAAAAGCACCCAACAGAGTCCTTTGGCGTAGGCCACTGCCTTGATGGGGTTTAAAAAATAAAATCAATGTAAGATGTTTATCAATTTTGTACCAATAAAAAAGTTATAAAATGTGAGTAAGGGACACCTACCACTTCGTTCCTGAATTTCATGTCGTTAGAATCCGCTTTGAACTTCATCGCGTAATATCTATCCTTAAATCCATCTTCCCATAACCTGATTATTTTTTTTTGAAAAGTTTAGGTATGGTTTAATTATTCAGATCAGGGTGTCAAACCAAACCGCGAAACAAATGAACCGTTATAATTTTCGGCCACCATATTATAAACTTATTGAACGGGTTAAATAATGGTCCTAAAAATTGCATAAGTTCATTTAAAATGATTGGCGTAATTTTAAAAGAAAACAATTTATAAGTGGATATGGATGTTTTACTTAATTTGACATTTTTTTTATACGTGTTTTTTATAATAAAATATCTTTAGGTTTTATTTTTTAAAAAAAATTTTGGTTTTAAATAATATTTATTAATTTAAAAAACAATAGTATACAAACTTATAAACCTAAAATGAACAGAAGAAACATCTTGTGTCTCACTGTTCGTATACCCCCCTTTTCAACAACCGTTTGAAAATTTTAGACTAAGAACAGTAATGGGACTGAACCGTGATGCCATTAGGATCGACAGACTGATTCAATTTAGGCATCCATTTTTTAAATTTGTTTTTCCCCTCGCTAGATCAAAAGGGTGTAAATATTGGAGGAGCCCCTTTTCAAAAACAAAATGACCATATACTCATGTTCCAACATTATCACAAAAATTGTAGATCGAAAGGATAATTAAAAATAAGATAAGTTTTAAAGAATTTTACCTTGTTAAAGTATCATTTCATACGTGAAGTGTATCATTTTCAAATGCACCTCCACCTTAAATCAATATTATGTATAACGTTAGCCCGTATTATTTAAATTAATAAAAATTCTTATAATTATATAGTATATGGTTGCAAAGTTGCAGGAATATAAAAGGTGGCAATTGGTGAATGAGCTGGAAACAGAGGGAGGAAAATATGATTTGGATCGCAAAAATAAATGAAGAAAAAGACAGGATATGTGGTTCGATGTATGAAAAATAGAAACAGGAATGTAGTTATTGATAAGAAAGTGATTATGGAGTTTTTTTAGCAATAATTTAATTAATGTTTATAGTGGTATAAAAATGTTTTTCAAAAATACACTTCTCAAGTTCAAAACTCGAGTTATAGCAACTACGAGTAGTCACATTATCTCGACTATTAAAAAAAAACTTGTTCTGCCAATAGGTTCGAGAAAGGAATTTCGAAGACGTTAAAAAAACAAGTGTAATAAGGGAAATTATAAAGGCAGTGGAAGAAATTGGAGTAAAATAGATGACAGACGTGTGCGATTCGATTTTATGTGAAGAGGTTTTAGCGGACTCGAAAAAATGGAGTTATAACAGGTTGAAGGAAAAATGTAATCCGCTAGATGGTGGCTCGTAGTGGACGAATAAGCTCCTGGAGCGTAGATTAAAAGTTTTTGGGATAATGTTAGAGAAGAGAATCAGAGATGATATGCCGTTTGGCATTACACATGGGAAAGGAGCCACCAATATTATTTTTCTGACAAATACAAATAAAGTATCAGAAAGAAAAGGGTAGATTTATTACGCGTTTGTAGTTGGAGGTTTGACAAGGTCCTATGTGAGGTTGCTAAAGAGGTTTTGAGAAAATCAGCTGTGGAGGAAAAGCTGGTATTGGCACTGATGATATAAAAAGATGCCCAATGGTTGACATGATACTGATAATGAAAGTTTTCAAGGCAAGGTGTGACTGCATGAGGGATCCGTCTGGGGTCCATTATTTATCAAGTAATGGAAATGGTGTCAAGAGAGGTACATAGAGGACTGACATGGAAACCTCGGTATGCTGATGATCTTGTATTGTGGCATAAGTGAAATAGTTAAAAAAATAAAGATAATCATATGAAAGATGGTTATAGAAGTAAAAAGTTTATAAGTGAGGCAAAAGATCAGATAAGGAAGAAAGATACTTGGTGAATGTGGGAAAGGTATTGCTAGAAAAAATAATTCAATACACCAGTTGTCAGAAATGGGTGCATAAATGTCTAGTTATTTGTGTAGCATACTGACCAGATGGAATTGTTATTCCTGCTGTTGTTGCAAGGGTCAAATATGGATGATAGAAGTTCCGAGATTGTCATCTATTCTAACATATAAAAATATATCTGAAGTTGAAGGAAAAGTTTATGTAAGCTACATAGTATTTATGGTGGTGAAACATGGATAATGTAAATGGCACAGAGAATCAAAAAATTATATGAAGTAGTAATGAGAAGAAACAGACTAAGGTGGTTTGGGGCTGTTGAACACAATATAATTGGATGAAGAGATGCACTTTGATGGATGTAATGGGATCAAGGTCCAGAAGAAAACTCACGAAGACGTGATTGAAAGTGATAAATGGATAACATTGAAAAAATAATGGGACTTACATATGATACCTAACACCATAAAAGGTGGAGAAAAGGGATCAGAGGGGAAACTGGCTTACCCGGAAACCGCAACGATGAATCCAAATAATTATATTTTTTTAGTACATCTATTTAGTAACAGAAAAAAATGGCAGGCTTAAAGTGCCTACATTTAATTCTATTTGAGTAAACATTGTTATTTTACAATACATTAATTTTTTAGAATTCCTAGCAAAGCAACTAGAGTATCTGGTAAAATATGTTCTTTATTTATTTATTTTTTTAAAAAGGGTAAAAAAAATAAGGTTAAAACCTAACATCGTCCACATTCTTATCAGGATCGGCCGTTTTGTCGGAAGATGCTAAAGCACCAAAACCTCTCCTGTTGTTGGCAGCTGAGGGCTAGAAAATTAGTATAAAAATATTAAAGAAGATTTTGTTTTTTTAAGCATCAGGATATTTTTAAGAGTTTTATATAATTGATCGAAACTCTAGTCAAACATGACTACTAAGCTTTTCAGTTTGATGGGGGCTCAATCAGTCAAAATATAGTAAAATCTTATAACCCAACATTGATTTTTTAAAAAATATTTAAGGGTATAAAATTTTAATGGGGTTCGAGCCACAATACCCCTCCCTAGCCACTATCCATCATCGATTTGAAGAGTAAATTTATGAACAAAACTTGTGCATTAATATTTTTAGACAAAATAATAACCTTGATGTCTTTCAAAGTCCCAGATGAAATGAATTTAATCGCGTTATTGCTATTAACCGAGTTAAAACCCTGCTTCCCCAATGGATGATATACGCCATCTACATTAGTATTAGCTTGGGCTATACGTTGTTCTCTCTCAGATCGTTCAGCTTCACGTTGCCTAAATCTGGAAGATTTTTTATTTTTAAAAAAATTTTTAATATAAAAATTTCAAAAAATTGATCTAGAATTAAACTCGAAGATTCTATAATCAGGGTGATATTTAAAAAAAGAAAGAAGTATATATGAAAGTATCAGAATGATAATTTAATCATGAAAAGTTAACCGAAAGGACCAGGCGTTACCAATAAAAAATGACGTTATTCCCTTAATATTCTTACAAAAGGGGTTCAAATTAATATCATATCACTCAATCGCATCTGGCTGATAGTAAAATATTCAACAAAGTTTTAAGTTAAATAATAAAAAAAAAATTGTCCCTAATAACCACTTTAGCTATAATGGTAATTTATAATAGGTATCAGTGACAAATATTTGTGGTTATCACAAATCTTATTCATATAATATATTAATTACTGCCTTTCTCTTAATTATAAATAGAAATTCAAAGTTATAAATGAAACTCTTTTTTGTTCTTATAAAGAGATGATTGGGAACTGAAAAAAAACCTCTTTTCGTTATCTTGGCGCGTCTTGAATATCCCATCTTCAACCTCCCCTAGTTTCGTGAGCATGACCTGAACTGATTTGAGATTTACTAATCCGTTGCATGTTAGATATCCCTTAGTGGTTGCAGCATAAATAAATTATGTAAATTACTTAGGAGAGGAAAAAAATTGATTTCGGCCAAAAGGTGGAGATAGATTCTTAAGTCAGCCAAAGAATGTTAAAAAAAGTTAGTAAAATCTCTTCAAGACTTTTGTGGACAATATTAAGGAAGGAGCGATGGGTCAATTTATGGAGTTAAATGTAGAGTTGCTAAATTACTTACCCTTTATTCAACTCTAAAACGGTCTAGCAGAGGGTTTGATAAACCTCAAATGAGCTGGTCAAAACCGCAATACCCATAATATATAAATATATTATAAAAAGAAAGGAAAAAAAAATTGATTTTACATCCATTCCCGAAAGCATTTCTTTGTAGATTCGGACGAGTCTGTCAATTGCATTTTCCCTATTAAAATTTTTTTTTAAAGAAATTATATTTTATTTTATAAAAAAATTTGGGTAGATTGAACTTCCCCTTTTTCATAATTTTTCGTTAATATCAATTCCCATAACAAGATGACGGCTATCGAAACTCATCATATGCTCAGAATATCATGAAACAAAAAAAAATCCATGACAAAAATAAGAAATGTATTATTTGTTTTTTTCCCGAACTTTTCCAAAAATTATTATAATATATATATATTACTAAAGAGACCTGATTTCGAGGGAAGGTAAGTGTGGCAAGAAATCGTTTCCGACAAAAAAGCACAAAAATACCCAATCATCAATCACCCTTTCGAGGTCGAAATCCAATCTCTTGGGTCTTTGAAGACTAACCTCACTGTTCCCATTTGCTATTTTTAAAAAAAATAACGTATCATTAAATATGGATGGGAGAAGAAAAAAAACTCTTAAAAAGAACTGAGTTCCAATTCATATTTAAATAGAAATTATTAATATTTTTTGATTTTCATATCTTATTCTCTTATTTTTAATTTTTTTTTAAAATGGCCAACTTTCATTGTTGTTGTTCCGCCATCTTTGTGGAGTATTCCCATTGTTCCCTTCGAAATTGCTGTTACCACCTCGAGGAGAGTCGTAGAGTAATTCCCGCTCCAGGTACTGCCTCAGGAGATCGATTCGTATGAAGAGGAAGGAAACGGAACCGTCAGATAGCGAGTTTTCTAGCGCCTCATCCTCAGTCGAATCATTGGAGGAATTCCAGATATCGTTAGCCGATGCCAGAGAAGGTAAGAGTGCTTGCCCCGTGCAGTCCTTTAATTCATGACCTAAGGGTGGTTAATTATTTATTTTATTTTTTAACTTGTAGTTATTATGGGTTGTACCTTTTTTCAATAGCCACCTAAATCCTATTTTATGTTAAACTAAACTTCTGCAAGGTTTCATGTTTACAAATTAAATGGTTGTTATTTGAAGGATTTAGCCCCCATCCCCTTAAAAAAAAATAACATATTTATAGCTTTTTATTTCTACCTGACAAGCTGTCAAGTCAGATACGAGCTTTAAATTTCCCTCTCGATGTCAAAATACGACATTAGTCAAGAAAAGATACTTACATGCTCCAATAATTATGAGTAATGATAGCTAATCGAACCATGATCATTATTTTGAATAGCACACTATGCCGAGCGACATACATTACCCAATTGGCGATATTTTTGTTTTGGAAAACAGCAAAGGGACTTCAAAACAAAATGAATATGAATACTTAACGAGATCACAATATGCACCACATTTTAAAATGAGATGATTAACTTTCGAAGAATAAAAATATAATACACAATTAAAGTATTGCTAAACCTAGATTTTTAAATGGCCAAACTCCATATTATTAGCCATAAAAAATATCGTCCAAGCCTTGAGGTTTCGTAAATGTACAAACCTTTGTGTCATCTAGGAACAAAATCTTTAAGATTTGAGTAATAATTTTCGGGATAAAATATTGAGACGTAACAACAACTATTCGTTTGGCCATGAGAAAGAGAAAATTTCAAAATGATTATTGTTTTGTCCATAGTTTTAAGAGTTCGTTGTTTTTTTAAACTTAAGAAATATTCATTTTTTTATGACATTAGTTCAAATTCAAAAGGATAGGTGGTAAATAAAAAAAATCCATTTTAAATAATTTTACCGAAATTAAACAATTATATATCGAATATAAAACTACAATTCCTTCCAGCGCACCAGTTAAATGCCTATTCAGCTTACTAAAAATTTAAAGTGAATCTATCTCCTTATTTAGGGATGATAATTTTTATATATTTTATAGTGTTTGTGTTGTTTATTTTAATAAAGATGCTTTAAATAATTATTAAGATATAGTATTTCCAAAATTTTATGTATTGTATCAATTATATGAGGAATATTTGTATTGGTATTGTGAAGGACCCATTTAGAATTTTTAAATTTCAAGTGAGTCAAATAGTGAAATTTTAATTTAATAAGTCTATATTAACATCACCTTACAATTTTATTTAAGATGCAAATTTATAATTCGAGAAATTAGAAATGATATTTTAAATATGTATTCAAGATAATCAATAATCGTGACACATGTCATAAGTAATTTTGGTGTGCGGCTATTTGGCAATATTTAATCAGTCTAAAACTCTCAGTGAACTGACATGCATTTAAATAAAAGTTTTAAATTTAATATTAAGATTATCAATCAATGTATGTTATTCAAAAAATAAATTTTTTTTAGAAAGTTTTACCATCACTTAACATTGACAGTGCTTGACAATTTAAAATGAGACCTACTGCCAAATAAAAACATCTTGGCCACTTCCCTTGCCCAATAAACTTTAAAAAAAAATTGAGCCCTATTGGCAACAAAAATTTCACATTAAATAATATATAACCTTTTTTGCCGCACATATCGCATGGCCTTTCTTGATGAGGTTTAAATTCTTCCCGAATGATGGTGAAATGAGGTTCGTGAGTAGCCAACCCAAGCATAATGAGATCTGCATCAGCTCCACACAAGCAATGCTTGGTGTTTGGGTCATGGTCTGGATTTGCTAAATGTGTAATATTTTATGATCTTAAAAGTATAATCCTGGACAAGTGTACAAAATAATAAAAACCAGTAGCATTAGCCAAGATTTTCAAATGAAAAATTTGTAGCGTATTATATTTATCATTACTAACCTCTTTGTTTGCGAATGAAATCCATAATTTTGTGCTCACCTTCTCCTGGTACATTTGCGTCAGATAGAATAACCTTTAGATTTTTCCAAGCTGGATGATGTGTCAACCTATCTTGTATATAATACCTCAGGCATAAAGATAGTCTGTGCATAAATGGTGTCCCCTAAAAATATGTAATAGTTTTTTTATAAACTTGATGTTAGATAAATTTCAATCCTCAAATTATACACATACACAAAAATTAGAGAGTTGGTTGGAAAATGTTTTTTATGTTTAATATTTCCAAGAAATATTCATGGGCCTGGATTATTTAATCAGGCCCAGTCTAGACTTGTAGTAAAAAAAATCATAGGCTACTGGCCCATAATAAGTTACAAAAATTTTGCCCAAGCCTCTTATATAAATTTAATTTATTCAATGAAAAAACCTAACCCTGATGGTCATTACATGTCAGATCAAACACCTTCTGGCTGATCACTTTCAATGATGATAAAAATTTGTAGGCATGTTATATATATATATCAGAGACCTGCAGAGGTACCATTTACACAGTTCGGTCTGGATTAAAAAATTTTCTGCCTGGCCCTGGTTTAAAAATTTTAGGCCCAGCCCGGATATTTAAAAAAAAATTTTGAGGGCCCCGCCTGGATTTTTGTAAAAAAATTTTTAGGCCTGACTAGGAATTTTTTAAAATTATATTCGACCTGGTATATACAAAAAATTCATCTATTTAGTATTTTATCATATTTTTTGGCGAGTATTATTTAATAAGCAAGCATATTAGCTGATGTTGTTAAACGGCTTGTTTTGAGCCGATTTTTAAAAACGGCTAACTCAGTATTTTCGCCAGAAAAATATTGACTAAGCCTCGAAATTTCGATACTATATGTCTGGACCTTTGCTCCTTCTATGAGCAAAATTTTCAGGCTTGCATAATATTTTTCTGGATAAAAAACTGAGTTAGCCGTTTTAAAAAATCGGCTCAAAACGAGCCGTTTAACAACACTACTTTTTTTTAAATATTCTAAACAGACATTTAGTATATAACAAATTGATACTATAAAAAATCTGAGCAAATAATATTTTGAGAATATACTATATTAATTGTATTTATAAAAAAATATAAACAGATATTTTATTAATAAAAATATAATTTAATCCTTTGCATATTTATTACATGGCAGGAAAACTATTATGTAATAGATACTATGAGTGTTAGCTATGTTAACTTTCACCAAACATTATATTAATCATAACTATATATAATCATTATAACCATATCTAATTGACGAATATAATAATTCATGTATAAATTTTTTTTAAATAACCCGGCCTGGCCCTGGTATTTTAAAAAAAAATTTCAGACCCAGCCCGAATATATTTAAAATAAGGCCCAGCCCTGGTACCCGGGCCTGCAGATCTCTGAATATATATTTTAGTAATATCTCCATTAGCAAATATATAAACTGAGATAATGAGGATTAAGATTAAAAACCCAAATATCGGATTTTTAATAACACTACTTATGTTAAATAAATAGTTCTAAAAAATTAATTGGTTCAAATATTGAATCGATAATAACTAAATCATCCAAATCATTCAATCTACTTTCAGAAGTTGTATTTCATAGGTATGTTTTTCAGAGACTTGCATGCCCAGCCTCTGAGCCAGACCTAATTTTAATTTTTTTTAAACAAACCTGGGCTAGGCCCAAATTTTTTTTAAAAAAACACCTGTTCTGGGCCTGAAAATCTTTTTAGAAAGAAATTAATTTTTTTTTAAAATTATTGGTCATCTTATGACCAGCATAAAATTTAAAATCAATATTTAAAAATGATTATGAGATTCAATTTTTCTAATTTTTTTTAATTATTCATTTACTGTTTTCTTGATAATTTCTTCAATATTTAGCATGGCTGGGTAATTATTTAAAAAGATATTGCATAATGTATAAAAAAATGTATAGATTACGCTATATTCCATTGTTTTAAATATTCTCACCCAATCTATATCAAAATATTTTTGGCTGTTTTAATAATTAATTAATAAAGTATTTTTATAGTTATGAATAATAGCTAGATTTAATAAAAAAAAATGTTTCTTAAATGTGGATGATATTGTTTTTTTCATATTTTCTGTTGTTTTTTTTAAAACATATATAACGAAAAACTTAAAATATATTATGAAAATACTTATTTGTCAGATGAAAATATTAGTAAGATAAATAAAATCACCAAAGTTTTCCCAAAAAGGAAAGAATGCAAAGCTAAATACTAAATATTGCTACTACATGAAATAGATTAAAAAATAAAATACCTAATGATGTTAAACAGCTTGATGATGCCAATTTTATATTAAAATTTTGAGGCTTGTGTAATACATTTTGACTAAAATTTTAATAGTCCACCTTCCTGCCATCTAAGAGCAAAGTGTGTGTAATATTTTTTGGATAAAATATTGGGTTTGCCATTTTTAAAAATCAAGCGATTTATCAACATTACAAAAACTATTAACTATAAAATCAAAGACAAATTCGAGGCCAACTTTGTTGGACCAAACATATCTGAAAAGGGACTATACCTGATGAATTGAAAAGTATTCATTTTAAATTTCACTTAAAACTGAGATATTTGACAATTCCAAATATCATTATTATAAAAAATGAATGTGTCAAGATTATCAAATTAAATATTGTTTCATTTGATTCTTGTAATTCTTAATAATTTTAATTTAACCCTTTAACGTCTCATGATTTGTTTTGACATCATATAATATAATTATATATTTCAAATTTATAAAAGCCTATAGATTTAATTTAATATCATATGATATAAATATAATAAAAATACTTTCGTATTTTATTAAAATTATTAACGCATAATGTTTTATTTTTAAATTTCATCTAATCATATTTTCATGATTTTATTTTTACCATTTTATTGAATTTTATAACAACAATATAACGAATTCTGTGGATAATATTTAATAATTCTAAAATTTTTATTCATTATTAAAGGTAAGAGTATAATATTATAAAAAATTATTTTATTAAAAATGAATATCTCTTTTTTATACCTACTTAAAGTTTATGATGCCAAAATAACTCATTGGGATTTTAGAATACCATTAATTTTATTTTATATTTATAATGATTTTCAATAGGTATAATTCCCATTTTTAATTTGACATTAATAAAACCTATATCCTCTGACTTATATTATAATTTTACATTTATTAAATTTTTTAAAATGATTCTGTATAATTCATAGATGGCTAATAATTTAATAATAGTCAAGGGAGACATTTTGGAAGCCGACATCAATGAATCAGACAATGAAGAAGATATTTTGTACACTCTTTGCGATGATTCTCCTTCAACTTCATCAATTTCAACATCTAATAATCTTCAAGTCAAGATAGAAGATACAGAAAATAATGATAATATTATAATATCAAATGGAGAGCAGGTGATACCTCAATTGGACACAAAATATACTAATACATTTTCCCCTTCAACCAATATATTATCCATATCAATATTTTAAATTATTTATTTCAAATAATATTCTAAATGATATATGCAAACAAAGTAATTTATACAGTTTTCAGCAAATAAATCGATCGCTAAATCTTGATATAAATGAATTAGAGCAATTCTTAGGCATACATCTTTTTTCTTCTTTAGTTAAAGTTCCTTCATATAGACAATATTGGTCTATGGAATTGGCGTTCCCTCAGGTTACGGAAACTATGTCTCGTACCAGGTTTCAAATATTGCGAAAATATTTACATTTTAACGATAATTCTCAACTTATCCAAAGAAATCAAGATGGATATGATAAATGTTTTAAAATTAGACCCTTTATTTCAGGGATTCAAAACAATATGCAAAAATTAGAGATGGAGGAAAGAGTATGTGTTGATGAAATAATCATCCCGTTCAAAGGGCGGAGTACATGATATGCTTGTTGAATGCTATAGAGTCGATATTAAAGGTTAAAGGTTCTACCTGAGAATCATTTTTCATCTTATTGATGTGTGTAGTAAATGCATGGCTTTTGTATAGGCGACAAATATGCCATGAAAAAGAGAATAAATTCATGAAACTTATCACATTTAAAACACATATTGTTAAAGCATTGTTATCGGCAGGCAAAATTAGTAAAAGAAAATCAGGGAGACCTTTGAATGAACTGATAAAGAAAAAAAGTTCTATAATAGCTCCTATATCTGATATCAGATATGACAACATTGGTAATTGGCCGGAAGCCTGCGAAATGAGGCAAAGATGCAAGTTATGCATAAATGCATACTCCAGAACAAAATGTGCAAAGTGTAATATATATTTATGTTTTAATCAATATAGAAATTGTTTTCGAGATTTTTATAATGAATAGATATTTGTATTTTTTTGTGTTACAATATGCCTGATGATGTCAAATTGCAATGTCATTTTTTTTTACCTGTATATTTAAAAATAAAAGTTGGAAATAATTTTGGGCATCTATGGAGTGTATAAATGAATAATTTATAGACAAGATTTTTTTTTTTAATTATTAAAAAGTTGGGCGTCAAAGGGTTAATGAAGATTAATTCAAAAATTATCTTTTCGTATTATGCTGCCTTTTAATATTTTTTATAAAAATAGTAAACAGTTTATGACTTGTAAGAAAAAATAAATAAATTTATAACTTAAGGATTAAATCATAAATAAAATGAAAATGTGATGCTCTATTAAGCTAGGTATTGAGTAAATTAATTTTTATAGAGTTAAATTATTTTAAGGAAACATATATAAATATAATAAAATTTATATCAAAATTGAATATTACTGGAGTGATGCAATTGCTATCAAAGGAAGTCTTATTTTTTTCATCAGGTATTGCTATTCCTTTAGCAATTAACTCTCTTTTCACTTTCTCCATGCAGCTTGACTTTTCACTACTCTCTTGTGCTCCTCTAAATCTTCGAGATCTCTGTTGATTCATCTTAGCTCTTGGAGCCTATCATATATTTAGGAATTTAAATTATAATATAAACAATTACCACTCCATCAACAGCCATGTACAAAACCTTTCTAGGCCTTAAGAGTCCAAACAATCTATCAATGTATGCATATATATCAACCATCATGTCTTCTTCTGTTTCAGGGGCAGCTTTATATTCAGGATGACAACATGGATGAATAATTCCATTCATATCAAGATATACATTATCAAATTCTATGTTATTAGGATTAGAATTTAATAAATCCTTTGGGTCTTCAATATTCTAAACATATAATCATAAAACAAGCATATTTAATTAAAAATACTTTATCTTCTACACATGACACGACAATAGATGGATATTTTCTACTTAACCATCTAAAGAAGGCTGGAACTCCCATTTTATAATTAAGATAAGAAGAGAAATGTAATGTATATGAATGTTCAAAAGAAAAAATAAAAATTTAAAACCAAAACATTACTATTTATAATTTGACAGACATTTCAAATTAGATTCAAAAAATAATTTTTTTACTCAAAATGAATTTTACTCTTTACTTGTTAAATATATTTTTGTAACATAATATTTGATATTATATAATAAATGCTAATAATCAATAAGAGTTTATATAGTAACAATATGTCTCTAATGAAGTAAAAATGTCCGAAATCTTTATCAATATATAAAATAGGGAACAGTGGGACAAATCCCCTTCCCCCCAAAGCCAAAAAATACAGATGCAGGATATATTTTTCAAAAATATTATTGCTTGTATTAATTTATATTTGTTAATATTTATTTGTATCTCATATTAAATATATATTTAATTACATTTATTATCACATTTATTATCACATTTATCTACTAAGTTATTTTATCAATTAATTTCGATATTAAGTTTTCCGGCGTTATATTTACTTATTATTTCAAATTTTTAGCGACGTAATATTTATCTACCATTTTCAAATTTCTAGTCAAATAATAATTATTTCTGAAACTTCTTGTCCAACAGGGAAAAGGAAATTGCAACCTTGTCCAACAAGATAGAGTCTCTGCCATCAAGCATTAACAGCTTTTAAGGAGTTAGAAGAGCCATTTATTTGCTATTACTGAAATATCGCAATGGCCTGAAAGAAATATTTCCTCAGAAGCAAGGAAATTATGGGATTCAATGCTTATTCCAAATTTTTTTCTCATTAGAATGTATTATTTAATTATACAACTATTTTAAGTATTACTTTTCATAAACATGACATTGACTTGATTAAGAAGATGAGAATAGCGGAGAGCATTTTATCAAAACTCAAGGAAATTAGGGCTAATGTTGATGAAGAATTTCATATTTTATATTGTTGAGTCAAGAGCAGAGCTATACGTGTTTAATATTTGTCTCCCCTGACTTGTAGCAAAGCAAGCTCATCGTTAAAACATTAATATAGAATCAGTAGAAGAGTATATCTTAAATACAGATACATTTATAACCCAAATAAATGAATTTTTAATTCATCATGCAGCACTTACTGATCTGCAAATAACTTCCACAAAAGCCTTCCCAACCTTTTTCAGTTGGTGATAGAAAAAAAATATTTGTTAGATTTTTATTATGAAGATGTTAAAGTATCTTATGATGCCTTATTAGCTGAATAACTATGTTTATAAGATTAACGATGGTTGATATAGTTCCAAAAAATACTAAAACACATTTTAGATTAAATTCCCAATGTATTAAAAGGCTTTATAAAATCTTCTCATTAGTAAACTAATGAGAGAACATTCTCTTTTTTAAGGAGAATAACAAAGGCTTGTAGAAGTACCATTTGCAGGGCACGGCCCGGATTTTTTTAAAAAAATTTTTACGGCCCCGCTTAGGTTTTTTTTAAAAATTTTCAGGCCCGGCCCGGCTTTTTTTTTCAAAAATTTTTAGGCCTGACTCGGTTTTTTATAAAATAATTTCAGGCCCGGCCCGGCTTTTTTTTAAATAAAATTTTCAAGCCCGGCCCGGATTTTTTAAAAATAAATTATATTTATTTTTGATTTTTATAGCTAATAATAATGATTTCAAATATAGGCTGTTTTAAAAAATACAGTCCGGCCCGGATATTTCCTTAGTATTTTTTTTTAAATATTCGGGCTCGGCCCGGGTATATTTAAATAAATTAAAATACGGTCCGGCCCGGGGGCCGGGTCTGCAGGTCTCTGAAAAACCAAGTACAACATCTGAAAGTAGATTGAAAGGTTTGGATCTTTTGAATATTCATAGGTATTTGACCACAAGCAAGGATTAGATAATTGAAAAATTAGCTCAATCACAACGAGATTGGATTTTACATTGTAAATGTATAACATACAAAATGCAATTATTCCTAAGAAACATTTTGTGTAAAAACTCAAAAATTCAAATTTTTATTTTGGGTCGTTTAAGTGATTCTTTACATATAATTTTTTTATAATTCACATTAATTTAAAATTGTGTATTAGAAATAGTTATTAGTCCTAATAAATTTATGCTTGATATTTTTAAAAAACAATAATATTTCTTAAAAAATTTTATTATCCCCCCCCCCCTAGACGAAATTTCTGCGTACGCGCCTTGCCTCTAATGAAGTAAAAATTGTCCGAAATCTTTATCAATATATAAAATGTTTTGAAACATGATATGCACCAAGTGTAGAAATATATTGTAATATGCTATTATTTCTACATCGTGAATGATTATATTCGTATGGTTATAATGATTATATATTTATGATTTAATATAATATTGTGTGAGGTTAACTACCTAACACCTATATCATCTATTATATTTGGATATCCGATTTATAATGTTATGGTTGCACATAAATAAATAAATGGTTGTGTGAAAAATCTCATCGATAATATTGGCACAGTCGGCAGGATGTAAATGTAAGTATTAATGTAATCTAATTTTTTAGGTGACGACGAGATAAATAACCTGTAATATGAATCTATTGGATTTTATATGAAATATATTATGGAAAATAATTGTAAATGGTAAGTATGAACTATCCTGTAAATGTTATATTTGCTTGAACAATATGAATGTATTGGATATTTCAATTAATAAGGATAAAGATAAAAGTGCGAATCAGAATTAAGTCAAATAAATTATGAAAAATTTATAAAATATCGTAAAATTGTGGTGGATAATAAACTTAATTTGGAAAATATATTAATGGTTCTGATATTGATTGAATTATTATAATTGATAAATAAAGAAAAATTGGTTGATGAATGTTTATTCATAAGAAAATAATAAAATCGTTTATTTTTTTTATTTTTGGTACAAAGAAAATGTTCAAGCTCTGCTAGAAGAATGAAGTATATTCTCATTATAATTATCAAAAATGAAATGATATAATTTTTATATGATCTATTTAAATAAAGGAAATAATTTATGTTATGAATATTTGTGATGATATGAAATTATTTTTTGGAATTTGATAAATCAGTAAAAATGAAACATTATGGGAAATAATATTGTGAAAGAATGGATACTAACGATATAGTGACATGTGTTAAGTAGAGTTATGAATTATCCCGTAGGCCATACAAGCAGTGACCCCTACACTTTCTGAGCGAATGAAGCAGTAAACCCCCCTGAAAAGTACCCCCCCCCCTAAATGATAATTATTTTATGACACCCATAAATTTCAAAAATAATTTTTATTGCATCAATTTTTAATATATAATATAAATAAAATGCAAAAAAATATACTTTATAAATATTATTTTTAAATTAATAATTTAGATAAATTAGGGGAAGAGAAAGCGAATTTATAATTTTATCAATATTTAATTGTTTAAATAAATTTTTTTCCATTGATAATATGGTTAAATTATTGAGAAATGAATCTTTCATGGTACTACGAAGTCTTGTTTTAATTAATTTAATTTTACTCATGACTCTTTCGGCAGTACATGAGGTTGTAGGAAGTGCAGCATAAAACACACCTATTTTAAAGCTAAAAAATTTTTTATATTTAATGATGAAAGTATATATACCTCTCCTTTTTGGATTGTAATGTTTGAAGTCTAGAACTTTCAAAATCAAATGGTAGATTTCTCTCTTTCATAAAACCTTGTGCCTTTGAAAAAACATCTAAAAATTCAGTGTTATTATCTATTAGATTAAAAAATAATTAAGACAATAATTTATATTATACTTCTCAAATTAATCAAGCAATCTTTTGCCAATTGAATTTGATTTATTGCAAACCCTTTATCCTTCTAAATGGTTTGCAATTTTGTACAAGCCAAACTTTTATCGACAATATTTTATCCAAAACACAAAGTGATAAGATAAAATCAAATTTTTATATTCTAAAGACTGTAGCACTAGCCATAGTGGAAGTGGCAGCATCTTCAGAATCCTTTAAATTTGTTAAAGCTGCCCTCAAGGCATCATAAAGTAAAAAAAAATTTACGATAGCTTTATATGACGGTAGCTAGCTTCTAAATGAAAAAACATTTTAAATCTAAATAAATAAGGTACTATTACCGAGTGGTATATTCTTGATGCGTAGAAATCGTTGCGATTTTTTCAGATCATTACACTGACATTTTTTGAGTACCTCGTATCTTTTTACACCATTAAAATAGATATAAATCTCATCTAGTATTCCTAAAACATAGTTCTTTAATTGATTGGCATAATTGAACAATGATTAAATTTAATCGATGACAATAACACCAAATAAAAGCTGCCTTTGGCGCCTCTGCTCTAATCAAGGCCTGCACACCATTGATTCTTCCACTCATGTTTGAGGCGCCATCATAACTTTGCCCAACTAGAAATTCAAGGGGTAAATTAATCGAGTCGAGTTTGGATATTATATTATGCTTAATATCGAGACCTGTGGTATTTCCCGTACAATATATGTCAATCAGTCTTTCAACTACTATTTTCAACATATCTTACCATAAAAGCTATTGCTTCCGATTTCGAAACATCATATGTGCATCAACTATGATTGAAAAGCACCTGTTAAATGTAATCTCATTTTGAATTTTTTTTATAATTTTTCATGGTTTCAACGAGAATATTTATGTTATTATATGATAATAGATTGAATATAATTTCGTTTTTAATCCCTTATTTTTTTTATCCCTTTTTCTTTCTTCATTTTGTTGTATATACATTTTTAATACAGATTCAGAATCTGCAATAAGCTTAATAAGGGCCATCTTATTGTCTTCTTGTTGCCTGTTCCCCCAGAAGGCTAGGTTACGAGATATTAAATAATCTAAACATCTTATTATAATTCTTATGATAGAACGGTTATTATCTACATATTCTTTCTGGGGTGTTATAAATTTTAATATCGAATTTTTATTGTGAGAAAGCTTTCCATAATCGGCCATCATATGTGTCTGTGAAGATTTTTGCAGAATAATATAACGATTAATATTCTGCC